ATTATCAATAAATAAAAAAGTTTCAAGAACAACAATTTCTTCTCCTTCAGTAATACCAATATCGAATTTTAGTTTATATTATCAACAAAATTCACCAGTAGGGATTGTTCCATCAATTAATAAATTACAAGCAGTTGACGAAGCTATTACTAGCAAAGATTATTATTATGGATCTAATAATAGAAAAATCCCATTTTTGTTCAGATTATCTACCATATTTTTTATTTTCACAGGTTTAACAAAATTTTATAGTAAACGAGGAGAAAGTAAAAGTACTGTTAGCAGTAGTTCTGATGGTGATAGCATTAATAATGCTGGCGGTAACATTGATAATCTTAATAATATTAGTAATAATGTTAGTAGCAGTAGTAGTAGCAGTAGCAATAGCAGTAGCAATATATAGCAGTAGCAGTGGTGGGAGATGATGGATGACCTTATTTATGATATATACACTGGATACGAATATCATCATGATCAATTAAAGTAAAAAAGTTTAATTTGTTAATATTTTTTAATTAATAAAAATACCATATACGTTGCTGCTGGTTTGGTTCATTACTAAGAAGTGAACTTGTTAGCGGCCATTATTATATTAAAGGTATAATGTATCTATATTATTTATTTATCTATTCATGATTATTTTTTTAGAAATTTGATATAACATATTATATACATATATATGTAATATTTCTAATTAAACTTTTTTTTTTGAATTTATGATGGGTTTTCTAGCGAAGGGGAGTTATAGATCTCTCACCAAATTGAGTTTTTGCATAATACAAATCTATATGATAAGGATTATAACTGGTGAAAAAAAAAACATATGTATTTTTTAAGGGATCATCCATCACTCAATTACACTGTACCTCCCACCCTTTTTGCTAGAAAACTCCCTCATATGTATCATATATATATAAAATATTATTTAATGTTTGAGATGGATTTAACAATCACACATTAATTCATTCATACTTATAAATAATTACAATCACCCATATCAAACATTCATTCAAAATATTTAAATATTCAATGAAATAAATGATTCTTTATTTTGAGAAATAAATATAATAAATCTAATAGGCTTTACAATAATTTAAATCCAAAAATTAAGAAAATTTTTAAATTAATGCATTGTAAAAAAAATTTTTTATAAATTAATATTTTGGCTGTTTTCTTGGTGGTGTTGTATTACTGTTATTATATCCAGGTGAAAATGTTGAAAAATCAACTAGTTCACCTTCTTCAGGTCTATCAAGATCTGTATGTGGGCGGTAAATAATGCTATTACCACTAGCATTGTTATTATTATATTCTCTATCATGAAAATCAATTCTACTAACTTTATCTCTATTATCATTATTATTCCAA